TTGTCCAATTGAGAATGCATCTTAAGGGCAACATAAATTTTTGTCTCAATAGTACTCTGTAGAAAAGTTTCCTGTATTTCCTTGAATGATTCTGTTGTTAGCGTCAGTCATGCTCAGTTGTTGTACATTGCCCTTATCGGTACTCACATCGAAGATCTCGAATCCTGCGATATCCAGTACACCGATAAAGTAGTCTCTTGCAACACCCTTCTGATCCAACGTTTGATTGCACTTATTAACCAACCAGTTGAAAACCCTTCCATATATTGCCTTGCCCATCGCACCAACAGCCCAGTTCACTTGCTCCACATTCTGGCCTTTGNAATTCGTCTGCCGAAACGCCGTACATTTCCGCTGCCTGAAAACATGTCCTCCAGATATCGTTCTATTCTATGTAGTTACTGGTAATTTTTGCATAAACGACTACTTTTAGTGAGATCTTTTTTTGCAAATTATGATCATGAAGAGAAATTTTTGCCATAAGTAGATTGCAGAAACCTTTTCGGCTTCATCAGTGCCGTCGGGTTCAGCTTGTTCCTCTCGTGGACGTTGCTTGAATTTCATATTGCCAATATGCATATGTGCAGACATCAACTTGTAACAATTCATTTTTTCTTCTTCAGTGAAATGTAGAATATCGAATGCCTCATCAGTCAGTTTAAACTCTTCAGTGTCGTTCATCCCATCTACTGTAAGTTCGGCTTGGGCAACAAACCAATATTCACGTAATGGCTTGTCCAATAGAAGAGCTGGTTTCAGTTCTGGTTTGAAGTCTGATGTCATCTGATAAAAGATATGGTAGCATCGCTCGCCTGGCGCTTGTCGGATTACACGCGACTTCTCCAAGAGATCTAAATTAGCAAAAAGTGATTGCTTCATCTTCACAGTAATTCAAGTGTTACAAAATTCTCAATACCTTGAATGAGTACAGGTAGAATATGTTATGCACTTACAATGTTCGATATCACATGATGCTACCCGTCCTTGTTTCGAGAAATGAATTCGAATAAATTTTCCGAATCGTGATGAATTATTATTCCTGACCGTTCGTGCATTTCCGAATGCCTCAAGCACTGGATTTGTTTGCACGATTTGATCTTCTAGCGTTACCTTTTTTTTACCGTCAGTATCTGTTGACGCAGCACCATTGCCGAGCTGTGCTTGTTGACTTGCTCCGACAAATGCAAAATACGAGATCACCTTAAATGAAGATCTCATTTAATTAATGCAGTGCATCAAACCCGAATGTATCTCGCTTAATCAGTACGAGTTTCTAGGATCTCTCTCAACACTTCTTCATTCGAGTACATAGTAACTTTTCACAAACGAAACGTTATTCTATCACCTAGTGGTATCTTTTGATCGCATTTCAATTTATAATCGGAAAAAAACCTTTTTGGTGTTTTCAGTTTTCCCAGCACCAGATTCACCAGTGATGAGCATTGATTGGTTTTCATGATTCTGTAGCATACTGCGATATGCCTCGTCAGATACTGCGAACAGATGAGGTGGCATTTCGTTTTTACGTTTACCCATAAACATATTCGCCACTGAATCCGTGTAGATTGGAAGACGTTTGTATGGATTGATTACAACACAGAATAAACCCGAATAAGTCTAAAAAATCAAAAACTCAAAAATTGTGAAATTCACTCGTTATTAATTAGCTCATTTCATGGATTTTCACATGGATTCGAAATAATCGTTTGAATTATTCAGTAACAAATTTGGGAACGGAAAAAATGCTTATGTAAGAGTTTCATTCATCAAAGAAGTTACGCACATAGATGAGCATAGCTGCATAACGCGCTCGAAGGTTGTGCAGAACGGATGCGTCATTGAGGAACGTTAGATTCGACATGTCTTCGGTCTTTTCGAATTTCGGTGGGTTCATTTGACTGATGAAATCCGATTTGACAGTCTTCTGAAAGTTACTGAAATATGAAACTTTGAAAATACTCTCTGGAATGAAACTTTAAACTGCCGATTGTATACGTGTAACCTTGCCTTTAGGAATCGAAATCTACTTTTACTATTACTGCACTTAAGAGATATTTTGTAACGTTATGGAACTAGAATTGGACTGATTTTTCGGAAGGTCTAATGTATTCAATGAAGTATGTGGCATCATCGAAAGTAGTCACACTACTTCAAAGAAATTAAATGCTATTTACTTACCTCCGTTCCAGCCACATTAACGGTCACTTGATCTCCTTTTGTCGTCACGATCTGCGCTGCTCTATAGCCCTCATCTTTATCTGGAATCCAACAGTCTTTCTTCGAATCGTATGGTGCCGACTGATCCTTAACGTAAACATGGGCGGTTAATTTCACAAATGGACCAAATGAAATGTTTCTCAGAACCTCCTTCTAGGCTTCAAGTCCTTCTGATGTTTGCTGGAGATATAACGTTTCATCGCTTTCTGTTAGTCATAAAATGACGTGAACTCCAACGAAACTAACAATAGAAAGTCTGTCCTTCTTTTCTCACTAAGCA